CTGTATATATATATATATACAGTACCAAGTTTTCTGGTCTAGTCCAACTATGTCTTGTTCCAATAGACATTGGTATTCCAGTAATAAAACCCTTTTTACACCTAACCAGATTTTTCTGCACATTTCTACAAGATAGTGGTAACTAGTTGAATGATCTTGAGCAATGACATAGGTGATAATGATCGTTTAAAAAATAATAATTTGTTCCTCAGTAGGTTATTCAATTCAATCCAATTCAGTTTATTTCTATAGCGCCAATTCACAACATGTCATCCTCAAGGAACATTACAATTCAACCAGATCATCCAGTCAAATTGATTCAAAGTTTTCTATATAATGAAAACAAGTTCATTTGAATCGACTCATTGACTTTCTGCCTTGGTTGACCCTACAAGGGGGCATAAAACCCCCAGACAGCATAGCTCCTAAGGTCATTGGGACAACCAAACCCCTCCACCATGATAAGGTGGCAGCCCAGGGAGAGGGCTGCCACCTTATTTTCTCATCATTACTTTTAATCTGTGGACCCTTATGGACAAATGGATATAAACAATTGAAGATTGGATATATAAAACAGCTTCTGGACGCCTTCAAAGGCATGTAGTTGGGGCTGCTTTGTCATGTTTACATTTTCATATGCTGCTATACCTGTGTAATTGTGCTTTAGTGTTGGCTGTGTCCATAAAATGAACTTGGTGGTTAAATTATGTAGAATCTAGGGTTATGTATGAACCCTTAATGGTTAGGGTAAGGGTTGGGTTAGGCTGTAGAAATTAAAGTCGATGAAAAGGCCCAACAGAGATAGTGATTTGTACATTCACAAACCTAGAGACTTGTCCGGGATTCACCCTGATTTTCCCTGTAGACTTCTGGAAATGGGCACCGGCCCCACTGTGACCCCCCACTGAAATTCACTCTCTGCATTCAACCTTCCCCTTGGGGAGCAGTGGGCTGCCATTGTGTGGCCCCTGGGGAGGAGTGTGGGGTTAAGGGTTTTGCTGCGGAACCCAGGGTGGAGGCTGTGGGGATCGAACCGGGTACTTGCAACTTTCTCAGAACAGAAGTGCACTGCTCTTACCACTAGGCCAACTCCCCCCATGGAGATTATATTAGATCTTTGAAAATGTCTTTATTGCACATTCAACACAAATAGATCACATCTTTACAAAAAAAAAAACAACTATAAATTAAATGAAGCATTAAAACACACACCATTATGAAATGTTGGTTTCTCTTTACATGCTCTCAAATTCGTACATTGGATACCAAGAGGAATTTCTCTCACGTCTGTACATATTTTTCCTTATCTGGCAGTCCTAACCCTTCCTTAGTGCTTTTCTTTTTCATTGGTTGTGTCTAAACATTCACAAACAGAGCATCATTCAGGCTGCTGGTATGTTTGTGCCTCTTCAAATCACATCACTTGGGACTGTAGGGCCACCTTTCTATCAAAGATCAGGTGTTAAATGAAAGAGGTGTTTTTATTTTTTGGTTGTGCGGAATGGTATGTCAATACAGCATTCCGCACAACAAATAAACTTAAGTTAGAATAAATATGTATTATAGCCCATATTTCTATATTATGTATATCTAATATAGTATATATATAATCTTTTGGCCATATATATATATATATATATATATATATATATATATATA